CAAGTGGACAGGTCCGCTCAGCTCTGGATGTTACCCCCGCCTCTTAATTCAGCAAACCAAATTCCTAGGGACACATTCATGGAGCTTCCTCTTTTCCTGCAGCTGAATGGGAGAGAAGGAAATCGCAGGCACAAGCAGCCAGGTGACGCCCTGTCCCAGCCTGATGTTGCGTCTCCTCCCGGTCCATGTAGAGGAGACGCTTGGCCAGGGCTGGCAGGCAGAACTGAGGTCCAGAGCCCTGCAGGGCCCGGGACCACGAGAGACAATGAGAAGGGTCAGGAGTTGGGGGTGCTCGGGCTGGAGCCCCGCCAGCCCCCTGCTCTCTGCGGGGGTTATTTTGCACAGGCCAGTCAGCTCATAAATTGGGGTGTGGTAGTGGGAGCCGGAAGAGGACAGCAGTGCCTCCCCTCACCTGGGGCTGCTGAACCCTCCCCTTCACTGTGCCAGACAGGGCAAGGGGTGCAGTGGGGGGCCCCAGTGAGAGTGGGGCGGAGCTGGGGAAGCCCTCCCCCCACCAGCCTCTGGCTGGGACAGCCAGCTACAGGGAGGTCCCCCTTCCGGGCCCACCAAGTGGGTGAGGATGGGAGAGCAGGAGGGGGGTTCCTGCTGGCTCAGGCGCGTGCACATCTCTTCCTGTGGGTGAGTCAGGGGTTGGCGAGGCCCAAACACAGGGCTTCAGGATTCTACTCTGACCTTCTATTCCCCCCACAGACTCGGCATCCTCACTTGAAGCAGGGGCCCAAGTGAACCCGAAGCCACCAGGTGGGTGTGGGGTCAGGAGAGGCACCAGCAGCTGGTGCTTTTGCCCTCAGGATGTAACCATGGATACCAGAAAGCAGAGAGGGTGGACGTACCCCACCTGGGGCAGGTCAGTGTGGCCCCGGTATGTTGCAGTGTCTGTGCTGCAGGTGGCAGGCCAGCTGAGGCCAGACCTGCCCAGGGCGGTGGGTCCAGCATGGAGCCTCTCCCACACCTGTCCCTGTTTGAAGCCTGGGGACTGCGAACCCCCAGCCCTGTGCTCCAATCCAGGCTGCCCGTCAGTTACTGCCATAGAAATGACCCCTAGCCCTGCCCAGACGCCACAGGTGTGGGGGTCACAGCCTGGGCTGTGGCTAGGCAGCACCAGCACGGCTGGGCTGGGCTGGGCCTGGACCGTCCCTGCACCCACCAGGCAAGGGCTCCCTGGGAAACTGCTTTCGGATCAAAGTCACGCCAACCCGCTCTGCTCGTTGCTGCAGCTCCAGGGGCTGCCCCCATTCCAGTCTGTGTCCCCACTCAACCTCTTCCACAATCCTGTCATCATGAGGGCAAGTGGTGGTGACCCTGGGAACGTTAGTTGTTTATTGCTTTTATTTATATTTATTTTAAATTTTACATAAAACTTACTATTGTTATTTATTGCTATAACAAATTAACCTAAAATATAGCAGCTTAAGCCACAAACATTTATTATCCCACACAGTTTCTGAGGGATGGGAATCCAGGAGCAGCTTGGCTGGGTGGTTCTAGCTCAGGGTCTCCCACGAGGTTGCCATCAAGATCTCAGCAGTGGCTGGGGTCTCACGTGAAGGCTAGCAGGGCCAGAGGATCTGCTTCTAAACTCACTCTCATTGCTGATGGCAGGAGGCCTCAGGTCCACACTGTTGGCCTCTCCATAGCAAAGGACAGCTAGTCTTCCTGAGTGAACGATGTGCGACAGAGAGACAGTGGGAGGCACCTGAACCTCATCTCAGAGAGACATCCCAACGCATCTGCAGGACCCTATTGGTCACGCAGGTGGACCTCAACACGTTTACAAGGCTGACTCCCAGGAGGGGGGTCATTGGGGCCTTCTGGGAGGCTGCCAACTGCAGGGCCTGTTTCCTTGCTCATGGGTGCATCCCAGGGTGGGTATATCCTCCAGGTGTGTCTTGGAGCAGGGACAGAGCAGCTAGGCACAGCTGCAAACCCTCTAGGCTCAGCTTCCTCCTTGGGAAACAAGCAGGTCCTGCAGCCAGGACGTGCTGGGTGAGCGGGAGGCACTGGGGCCTGGAAGTGACCATAGGAGCTTCGGGGGGTGGCTAAGGCCTCACCTCCCACAAGCCAGGGCTCCAATTAGCCCCACCCCCTCCCCCCACTTCAAATTCCCAAGGGACTGGAGTTTCGTTGGCCCGGCCAGACTGACTTATCACCACAGGGACTGAGTCTTTCTCCAGATGTCAGACACCTATGATTCGCTGTCATTGTTCAGTCCCCAAGCCCTGGCCCCACAGGCAGACAGACGGCCAAACAGGGCTCCCACAGAAGCAAGCAGATCAGCTGACCGTTAACATGAATTCAGCAAACATTTATCGACCCTTGGTCTTGGCCAGGAAGTGGGCTGGAAGGAAGCAGATGAACAAGACTCCGCCTGCCATGGAGAAGTTCTGGCCACACCGTCCCTTCAGGGGGAAGAAGTCCTGATTCCTCCCTCACCCCCTCCAGGGCCTTGCCCTAGAAGGAGCTTCATCTATTGTTCAAGAGGAAAACCAAGATAAATACAGCTGACGGGGGGAGGGGACCAGGTGAATGACCTGGAGCCCATCCTCCAAGGGGCCTGTCTGAGGTAGGAAAAGGAGCAGGAAATGGGTGGAAGGAGGTGGGAGGGAGGAAAAGGGTGAAGGGAGAACCCCACCTTTGGGGCCACAACTCCCACCACCTCCCACCAGAAAAAGCACTTGGGAGAGTCTGCCCAGCTCTCCCCTGGACCGGGCAGGTGTCCACGCTGGGCGTGGGGATGGGCGTGGTTCCTTCCACAGCTGGAGGCGAGGATGCTGTTCCTGAGACCCAGCTCCCCTCAGCTGCTGAGAAGGGGCAGCCTGGGGAGGGGGCCCCAGACAGCCTCCTGTGCTGCCCTGTACCCAGGCCCCTCCCCTTGGGGGCCCAGCCTGGGCTGTGCTTCTTCAGACCTCCCTAATCTGACCCAGGATGACACCCCTCCCCAAACCTCCTGGCTTGTCTTTCATTCAAGTTCATTAACTAGGTCAGTATGGATTGAGCTCCTTAGCTATTCCATGCGGGTGCTGGGGACGGAGGTGAGCGACACAGACGTGGCCTCTGGAGCCCACGGAGCCCAGGGTGGCTGCCTCAAGAGGGAAAGTGGGGAGAGAATTCCAGGGGGGGAGGCTGAGTACAAAGAGACAGAGGCCGGGAGGAGCTTGCTTGTCTGAGGGACAGCGTGTGGTTCCTCCCAGACCTGAGAGGTCCCTGCAGGGCTAACAGTGAAGGAAGGAAGGAAGGAAGGAAGACGGGGGTCAGGAGGCCATGTGTGGGGGAGGGGACAGGAAGAGAGGCAGGGAGGGGACACAGGCTAGGGGCCTGGTCCACAGCTGTCATTGCCCATGGGAGGAGGGAGAGTCTGGTGACCCAAGTTCCAGGTGATGTCCCCAGGCCTCCACTCTCTCTGCCCTTCCTGCAGGACGTGTGAGGCCCAGCTGTGAGTATGCCCTGACCATCCCCCACCCAGCTTCACATCCCAAAGCCCCCAGCCACCCCCCACCCCCCACCCCCACACTGAGGCCCTCCCTGAGCAGCTCCCCTCCCCCAATCAACCTGAGCTTCCAGCTCCCACAATAGATCCTCTGCAGCCCTCCTGCTCAAGAGGGTCCCTGGGGCTGATCGACACCTCCTCCCTCACTGTCCTGCCACTGCCCCAGCTCTGAAGGAAGAGGCGTTACTTTGAGGTTCCCCCAGGGTCAGGCTCACTGAGTGTTCCCCCAGGGTCAGGCTCACTGAGTGTGTGTATGTCCAAGGGAGCAGCACCTGGCCCACACGGCCGCCGCGTCCATGCCACTGCACCAGGCTCTGGATGCTCAGGGAGATGGGCAAGGCAGCAGAAAGCAGCAGGTGACTGGCTTGGTGGGGACTTGGAGGTCCCTGCCGGCTGAGCATGGCCACGTCCAGGAGGGCCCAGGTGAACCCTTGCCATAGCACAGACCTGGGAGCCGTTGGAGAAGGGGCAGACCAGCTCTGGCAGTGACTCACCCTCCTCCTCCACGAGGGGCCCTGGCCAGGCAGGCGGCAGGCAGCCATCTGAGGATCTCGGCTGCAGCTGGGAAATGGATCTTGGCTCGGCCTCAGGCAGGTTCAGGATAAGACACTCCAGTATTGGCTTGTGTGACTGGGACCACCCCCTCATCACACCTGGAGCACAGCCCCCAGCAACAGCTCGAGGAGACCTGGGACCACAGGACATGACGATGTCCAACCTGCTGTTATATCGCTGCCCGGTATCGTAGGGCCAACACACGGCAAATGCTCAGGACTGATCCACGGGCAGGAAGAAGCTCCAGTCCCTTCCCACTGCTGGGGGGGGCCCCCTTCCAGGCAGGGCAGGGCATACAGCAGACTGGACTCAGCTGCAGCACTAAGTGCTCTCTGCTGGACTCGCCCCAGTTCCCTGCCCTCTCCTGCTGGCACCCCTCTCCTGGGCAGACAGTGGCCTGGGGCAGGCTCAGTCCCCAGTGGGCATAGGCAGCTTTGTGTTGAACCATGAGAACGAAGCAGGAGGTGGATTAGGCCAAAACTGAAGCTTCAGGGCACAGTCACCCCTCACCACAGCTCAGCAGCCTGCGACAACAGTGTGAAAACACACCTCCACCTTCCAGAGTCCCCGGCAGTGGGAGTGGGGAAAGGTACCTTAAAAAAAACTTGCCCAGTGATGCTGATTGCTTCCCAACACTGGGACACATTCTGGAAAACGTGGTGACTGTCACCTTCCCGCCTGAGCTTCCTGAGGGAAGTCTCACACCCCCCACTTCAAGGGGGGTCGCCGGCTCCAGCGCAGAGGCAGGTGGACCCCATGCGGAGGTGCACCCGCCAGGCCTGGTGGGACAGGAGGGGCCGGGCCCAGGGGGCGGAGCCTGGGGAAAGGTCTCCCGAAGCCCCACCCGGAGTCCAGCGCCAAGTGACCAGTTGACCCTCCACTGCTGAGGGCCACAGGAAGCGCAGCGCTGCCTCGGCTACAGGCGCCACCAGATTAAACTCTTCACAAAGACAAAAAACAAAACAAAACAAAACTTTGAGGAAATAAATATTGTCTGGTACAGTCTCAGCAAAGGCTGCGGCTCTAAAACGGGGCGCGGCCTCCGCTCCAGTCCGAGCGCCGCGGCCTCACCGCAGCCACGGCCTCCAAGGCGCGCCCTGGCCCTGCGGCCCCGATCTGGGTGCGGCGGCCGCTCCGGTCAGGCCCGGGAGGAGCGGCAGCGCGAAGGTGGCCCCGGGGCGCAGCAAGGGGAAGGGGCCGTCGAACGCGGGGAGCAGCGGGCGCCCGGCGTAGACCTCGGGCGCCAGGACCTCCGCAGCAGGAGGCGGTGGGGCCGGTTGACACGAGGGCCCCAGCTGGCCCAGGCAGGCCGCCAGGTGGCCGAGCAGGCGAGAACGCACGTCGGCCGGGACGCCCTCGCAGCCGGCCAGGAAGCGATTCACCTCGGCCAGACACTCGTTGAAGCCGGCGCGGTACTTGCCGAGGACGGCGGGGTCGGCGCTGAGCGCGGCTGCGGGGGCGACAGGGGACAGGTCGGTGCCCGCGGCGGTGGTCCCGCGCCTGCCCCCTTCCCTCTCTGCCGCCGGCGCCTCACCTGTCACCTGCACGCGCCGCAGGCTCTGCAGGTGCCTTACAGTCATTTCTAGGATGTCCGCCTTCTCCAGCTTCGAGTGGCGCGAGCTCTGGGGGCAGGACCGGTGTGGGCGGCTTGCAGCCCAGTAGTGCCTGAGACTCTGGGCTCCGCGCCTCAGCCCATCGATCTCCCTTCCCACCCGCCGCCCCCGACTCACATCTTTCCTGAGGGCGTCCAGGATGAGGGTCTTGAGCTGAGCGAGGCTATCGTTGATGCGCGCTCGGCGCCGCTTCTCCATGACCGGCTTGGAAGACTGCGGGTCGGGCAGTGGCTAAGTCCTGCGTCCATCCGTACCCACCCCCCACGCCTCTCACCCCACGCCTGACCAGGTCCCACCTTTCGGTGCTCGGCCGCCCTCCGGGGCTTGTTTGGGGTTCGGCTGGCGCTGGCCGGCGCTCCTGCCAGCGGCGAGGCTCTCGGCTTCCCCGGGATGTCTGCAGGCATGATGCGCTCCCGCGCCTCCCAGTGCCAGGCGGGGCGCGCCGCCCTCCGTATCCCTCTCCAGCGGGTCCCAGGCTCCAGGCCAGCGCGCCCGTCGCCAGCCGCCCGGCTATTTAAGGCACAGCCGCCGCGGGGTGTGTGAACCCGGCTCCGCATTCTTTCCCACACTCGCTCCAGCCAATGAGCGGCTGCGCTCTTCTCTCACCCTTCCCCCCGCCGGCGCAGGGCCGCCGCCCCCGCCGACTGTCAGTCACGCGTCTGCTCCCAGCCCAGCAGCCCGCGAGCGACAAAAGCGAGCTGGGCACCCCGCCCGCGCCCGCCTGTGGCACCGCCTGAACCAGGCGGGAAAATCGCAGCGCTCTCTCCAAGGCCGCCACCCTCCGAGCAGCGCGCCAAGAGGGGTCTCTCCGGGCTAGCCCGGGCAGCGGACCCCCGGAGGCGGGGCGCAGAGGTCACGGCGGGCGGCGCGGGAAACCTGAAAGGAAGATCCGTGAGGCGAACCGGGTCAGGCGCCCCCGAGGAGCGGGCACCTTCGGCCACACCTCTCCTCCTTCCTCCTCTGCCATCGCCGGTCCCTGCGAAGGCCTAGGACCTCTGCACAGCATCGGAATCCGACCTGCCGCGCGCTCAGCCTCCGGGACCCCCACCACCAGCGGCACCCACGCAAGGCCTATGACACAGGGAACGTGAAACACCACCCACTGTGCAGGAGACGTGGGCTGGCCAAGGACATGGGGCAGGCAGGGTGGCATCACAGGACAATTAAATGATGGCGTAGGCCATGGCATAGCAGTTAAGTGCGCGCGCTCCGCTGCTGGCCGCCCAGGTTCTGTACCCCGGGCACGCATGACGCACCACTTGTCAGGCAGTGCTGTGGCGGCGTCCCACATAAAGTGGAGGAAGATGGACAGGGATGTTAGCTCAGGGCCAGTCTTCTTCAGCAAAAAGAGGAGGATTGGCACGGATGTTAGCTCTGGGCTGATCTTCCTCATTAAAAAAAATAATAAAAAAAATGATGGCATAGGACCAATGAGCAGGTCAAGTGATGTCACCAGTCAGGCAGGATGACGTCATGGAACAGAATGTAAGGATGTCACTGGTCAGGCTGGCGATGTCACCAGAGAGTCAGAGGTGATGTCTCAGGGTGAAGGTGGGTGATGACACAGCCAGGTGGGACGATGTCATGGGGCTGATGACGTCACACTCTTCTAGATTTTTCTAGATTACCAGACAGCGGGCTAAGCACCAGCAAGCAAATTAGGGCTCACAAAAAATGAGGAACAACTGCTGAAATTCTGTTTGTTTATTCAAAGCGGCATAGCGGGAAAAACATATTTTCGTGCTTGATGTTTCATTTTTAATTGCGTTGGGGGGCACTGCGGTCTTTGGAGTACTCGGGTCCCCAGCCCACTGGGCCCGGCGGCAGCCCTGCTCCGTCCCTGATGCACCCGGTGCCCGCGGCCCGGGCTGCGACGCCTCTCGGGGCTTCGAATCCGGCGCGGGAGGCGACGGCAAACAGACAAAATAATGACTCAGTTGTAAGATACAGGCGGGTCGGTGGCGGGGGGCCGGGAACCCCTCCTGGACTGGGTGGTCCCCAAGTCTTCGCAGTGGGGTCTTCAGAGAAGCGGCGCCTCTGCAAGGCCCAGGAGGCAGTGGTGTCCCGGGATGGGAAGGGGCCGCAGGGCTGAGGGCGGAGGGGAAGAGCGGGCAGGGGCGCGGGGACCCGGGGGCTTCGACCCGGGGAGGGGTCGCGACCCCTTGAGGGGCTTTTCTGAGCCAGGGAGCGCGCCGACTGGCAGCTCGGGAGGGTCGCCTCGGCGGCTGTGGGCCCAACTAGTGGGTGGTGTAGACGGCTGGCCCCGCCCCCACACCCGTTCCGGGGTCCCAGTCCGGGCCCACTGTCCAGACGTCTTCCCAGGCCAACCCTAGTCTGGCCCAAGTCCTGTGCCACGCAAAGTCCCGCGCCTCCCCCTCCGGGAAGCCCTCCGGAATCCTGGTGCCAAACCGACCCCTCCCGCGGTCCTCTGGGGGCGGCAGATGGCTCAGGTCCTCCGGCTACACAGGCGCGTCCACGCCGGGTGCGCGCCTCCGGACAGGCGGCAAGGCAGCTGTCACTCACCGAGGTGGGGCCGCCCGCTCCCCGGTCCGGCCCCAGAGGCTCGTGCGGAGTGGGGGAGGGGGGCGTTGGAAAGCCGCGGAGGGCGGGCAGAAATCCGCGGAGGGGACCCCGCCAGCACCGAAAGCCCCGGGAGCGCTGATTGGTCCGGTGTAGGGGAGGCTCGGAGCAGTCCTGCTGACCAGGAGGTCACCGTGGTCGCGAAGCCCCGACCCCACCCCAACCCCGGCGAGCGGGCTGCGCGGGGGACAGACAGCCCGCGAGCGTCCCCAGCGGCCACCGGCGGCTCCTCCTCCTGCTGGGAGTCGTGGGGAGCTGCCCCCCTGAGCCTTGGGGGCGGGTCTGCGTGGCCTCCGGGCGCCCCCAGCCTCCTGGGGGACCAGGCATGGGTTCCGGCTAGAAGGAGAGGCCTGAGGAGCCATCTTCTTGGCCATTCTTTCCTTCGTAGTTGTGCGATGGATTCGCCCTCCTGTACCTGTTCCCTCACCTGCAAAATGGGTTATCTTTTTACTTATCCCAGGGTTATTGGAAAAGAGTGGGATCCGACTTTACAAGGACCCAGCACATAGTGAGAGCTGGACATTTGTCAGCTACAGTTGTTCCTGCCCCAGGGAGGCCTGCGGGCGGGGCTGGAGCAGAGGGGAGGCTGAGGCAGGGAGGGGCTCCTGTGCTCACCTCTGCCCTGTGCCCCACAGGCTCATCCTCAGACGGCTGCCAGAGATGGAGGGATGCCTCTGCCAGGGACTCCAGGAGCCTGTTGTGGCCATCCCAGCCCCCGCCCCAGAAGGAGCCCTCTTCAGGCCAGAGCAAGGTGCGCCTGCCGGGGTCATCACCCACCGACTCCTTCCCACTGGGCTGCACCCCCACTGTCTGTATGGCTGTGTCTCTCTGGGCCCCCGCCCTCTGACAGTCCCCTCCCTGCCTTTCACATCTGGACTTGCTCTCTGGTGGGGCCCACGGGGCTCCCTTGCTCTGAGGAGGGAGGGAGGGTCTGGGGCTGCAGTGGGGAAATGGTGCTTAGACCTTGGTGTGGCAAATCACATTTTCCAAAGATGGCCACAATGTCTCCCACCCCCCATACCCTCAGGGTGTGCCCGTGATGAGACGTTGTGACATCCACCAGCAAGGATAAGGGCAGAGGCAAGATGTGACTTCTGAGGCTGGATCTTAAAAATGCCTCACATGTCAGCCTTGCTGTCTTGGGGCAGCAGCTCTCAGAACCCAGATGCTGTACTGTGAGGACCCAAACGGGCCCCAAGGGGAGGATCGGAGGAGAGGCCCCGAGGAGAGGCCCCGAGGAGAGGGTAGGAGGAGAGAGCAGGAGGAGAGGGTAGGAGGAGAGGGCAGGAGGAGAGGGTAGGAGGAGAGGCCCCGAGGAGGGGCCCCGAGGAGAGGATCCAAGGAGAGGGTAGGAGGAGAGGATCTGAGGAGAGGGTAGGAGGAGAGGCCCAATGAGAGGCCCCAAGGAGAGGCCTCTAGGAGAGGGTCCAAGGAGAGGGTCCAAGGAGAGGCCCCTTGGAGAGGGTCTGAGGAGAGGCCCCATGACAGAGCACGTGGAGAGGGCTTGTATAAGTGTTGCAGCAGCCCAGTGGAGGTCTGAGTGGCCAGATATGTGAGTGAGACATCTCCAGATGATCCCGACCTGCGGCTGCCGAGCCACCTCCTTCACGTCTTCCCAGCTGCCCCTGCATGTTCTGTTCCAGTTGTTGATTCGGAAGAGGACAGTGTTTACCATGACTTTTTGCGGTCCTTTGTTACACAGCAGTACTGAGTGGAATAGCTGCGACGGACCAAGTCCTGGACCCAGGAAGAGCAGCCTTTCCCTTCCACCCCTCTTCCCTGTCCTCATCCCTTCCTTTCTGCAGCATTTGCAGAAGCTCAGTGGCTTTGGGCCCTGGCTTTCCATCTGATGAGGTGCTTCTAGGAAGCCATCAAAGGCCATCTCTCTGTCCTCCTGGACCCAGGCCCAAGTGGGCCAAGCCCGAGATGGCTAGTGGTCCCAGGGGCATCTCCAGGGCCCACTGTTAGCCATGGGGGTGGGGGGCGGGGGCTGAGGTAGGAAAGTCAGTGGAGTAGTCTGTGGGGAAAGACGGAGGATCTTCCAGGCCAGACACAGGGCTCCGGGCCTGTAGGGGGCCTCGTCTCATCTGGCCACCGTGACAGCATTCCACATGATAGCGTTCAGCTCATGTCCCTTGAGGGCCTGCCAGATGCTGTCTGTGCAGGTCCTCTCCCCACCTCTGACATGAGGGTGGTGACTGCATTCTGCCCTGCCCCTCAGCATTCCACTGGCACTTGGCCTCCAGAACATCAGAGACGCTGTAGACCACTGCCTGCCCCTGGCCTTCACAATGTCCTTAGAGTCTGTCCCTCCTCTCCTGCCCAGGGGCAGCAGCCCATGGACTCAGGCAGCTGGGACCAGAGCTGTCAAGTGACCAGGCTAGACCCATCGCAGATTCTCTGGAAAGTGGGAATTGGGTGCTGAGTTGTTCATGGGTGTTTGCTGGAACCGTGAAGTGACAGAGGCTAGGGCTGAAGGATCCCAGGATGCAGGATGGAGACGAGGGAAGCAGACGCCCAGAACCCAGGCAGAGGCCGGGAGCACCAGGCTGCTGACGCCAAGGTTCGAGGTTGGAGTGCAGTCCCCACCCCCATGGCCGAAGGGGGGTCTTCCACTCTTACCGGCCGTGGGACCGACACCCCTTCCCTCAGCCGCCAATATTGGGCAGTGAGAGCATCCCAGCACCTGATGAGGGACAGCATCTCCCTGTGGTCCGGGCCTTGTCAACATCTTTCTCCAAAATCTGAGTGTTGACTCTTCTCAACATTTGGGAAGCCATGTCCCCCCACTTTCTGGGTAGGGAGAGACCCTCCTCCCAACCCCGATCTGCCTGGGGTGCCGCCTCCTCCCACTGGCTCCTGCTGGTGTTGCTTTTCTCTCCCCTCTTCTTGGACCGCCTTTCTGCTTGGAAGATGTCCTTCCCCCTTGGCGCTTCTAGACCAGTCTCTTCTCCACTTTGAAGCTCGTATTGTCAGACCTCACCCTGTTGAAG